AAGAATCCTTGAGACTCGCACAACCACTGTGAAAGCAAAGCTGTTTCAGAACTAGTTTGATGCCCGAACACCTGGTCAAGTTCTGCTCTATTAACACAAAGTGCAGCCAAGCATACAAGTCAGGTAACTTCTCTTACAAACCCAAAGATCAAAGACAAGTAGTATTTGCCCTGTTAAAATATGAAATTCCTCCATGTTTTCAGAGTACTATTAATGGGAGGTTAAATATCCTTAAGCTTCACACACACACACTCACACACATCCCTCCAATAGCTTTATAGCACAAGTATGTCAAACTGTTTCACCCACCCAAATCCTACAAGTCTGTCCTTGTTTCTTTACTTCAGACTGTGGGAAAGAGCCCACAGACCCCATTTTAGCGAGTAACCCCAAACAGCACTGTGGCATTCTTGACATTTGCACTCTCTCTCCACCAAAGAAATAGAACCCTCTTCAGATTACTACACTGAACTGCTTACCATTTAGCATCCACAACTCCTTGTCTAAGGCAGTCAGTCCATACTGGGGTCCTCCATCCTGACAACTCTCCAAACACCTGGTGGGCTCTATGACGGGCACTTGTGGGATACTGAGAATACTGTTACTCTTGTGCTTTCTACATGTGGAGACACATGTGTGACACACACATGTGAACATGATTTTGTGCTTTCTAATCTTCACGCTTTTTCCCTATCATGGAATGTGAGACTGTTGTACATACAAGTTCTCAGATACACCTGTCACACCTACAATGGAAAATGATCAAGTTAAAATATACTCAAAGAATTAATATGAGTAACCGTATTTTTTAATTAAAGAAATAAACAAATATGATAAATAACTTTTAAGCCGCAATACCAATTAGAGTTATCTGGTTTCCTTGAACCTAAATAAAGTCTGCATGTAAGGTATGTAACTCTAAATGCACTTTTTTTTTTTACTTCCTTTTCTAGCTATAACAAAATTTTATTTTTTTATTTTTTTATTCTTCACGTGAGGATATTTTTCCATTTATCTTCAGATAGAGTGTGAGGGAGGGAGAGAGAAAGAAACATTGATGTGAGAGAGAGACATCAATTGGTTGCCTCTTGCATGACCCCGACCAGGACAGGGGACAAACCACAAGCGAGGTACGTGCCCTTGGCCAGAATCAAACCCACAAAGCTTTGGTCCATGGGCCGACGCTCCAACTGCGGAGCCAAACCAGCCAGAGCTATAACACAATTGTAAAACAGAAACTAACAACTTCCGTCAAGAAAGGGAGAAGTGTGCGCTGGCAGAGTCAGCACTGGCGACCAGAAGGCACCAATCCCGACCCACGGTTCAGAGGCCAATCATATTACAGGACACCCCATCAACTGGCCTTTGACAATTTGGTTATTTCAGTAATAACAATGAGCTTAATTTGTTTTCAACTATTATAATAAGAAAGTGAGTTAAGGAACATTGCACTTAAAGCAGTCTAGACTAACCCTGGCCAGTTTGGCTCAGCAGTGAGTGTGTCGGCCCACAGACCAAAGGGTCTCGGGTTCAGTTCCCGGTCAAGGGCATGTACCAGGGTTGCTGGTTCGATTTCTGGCCCCAGTCAGAGTTGTGCAGGAGGCAGCCAATCAATGTTTCTCTTTTTCCCCCTCCTTCCCTTCCACTCTATTTAAAAATTAGTGGAAAAATATCCTCGGGTGAATTAACAACAACAACAACAACAAAAAAGTCCAGGCTACACTGATATACTGAAAATTATCCAGACTAGTCCAGAGGCCACTGACAGAAAGAAAACAGTCCTTCATCCACAGCACCAGAGTACGAGATGAGTTCCCCAAGGCAGACAGACACAAGTCTCCAAGAGTTATGGCCGCCTGCCAACTTGTGCCCTTGGGAGAACCACTGAGACCCCTCTGTCCCTGACTGCGAAGCGTCTTGAACCGGCAGGGGAAGGGGTGCAATCGTGGGCGACAACTAGTGTGGCGCTTTTCTGCAGCAGCAAAGCCACCGCGCCCCGCGACGAGGAATCTGAAACCCTGTGCTTTGCCCTGACTAGCTCTCCAGGTGCCTCATTTATTCCAGCCTCCCTCTCTTCATACATGCTGTGTATCCAGGTAACCACACCACACTTAAAAAGTCATTAATAAAGTAAGGTTAACGGCTTAAGTCAACAGCTGCAGATCATGGTACTCTCCTAGAAAGTGAAGTTCATGAAATGAGGGTCGATACAGACCCATCGAACATTCTATTTCTGAGTGAAAGGCTATGTGCCAATGGCTAAGGCTGTCAGCACCACATACATGGGATGTCTGACCCAAAACAAAACTGAACCTTATCTTTCATAACGGATTTGAGATGGAAACAGAAACATACAGGATACCAATTCTCTCACAACATTCCTTCAGAGAGGTCAATCAGCAATTTTAAGCCTTATTCCCAGCACTGGCTGGAGAGAGAAAATGAAAACAGTTATCAGCTCGATGTGTCGACTCAGTGAACAACGGTTGGGGCCCAGCACATGCCTGTTAGTGACTCTGGACATCAGCTGAGTGCTGTTCTCGGCGTCCGAGCAGCTGAACACCTGGTCTGCAAGAGGGGCAGCGAAGACAGAGCACACCAGGTGAGACGGGCCTCCGCGGGGGAAGGGGCAGCAGCCCTGAGTCCAGTCGACCAAATCTAACCAAGTGCGGCAATCAGAAGATTACTTTCCGTGTGACCCAACTTCGTACCTGACTAGTGCAGAAGGGCTTCTACTTATGCCAACTGATCGGGCCAACTTTTTACCTGTAACCACTGCAACAACAGGCTTTGGGGCATTAAAACACTATTCCTCTCTGCACTGTGCACCATCATTTCAAACGGTCTCATGAATTTTTACTGTCTTCCAAATTTTTAAAAAAGGAGTTTTGAGAATAAAATACTAAATTAGGGCTTTTATTATTAGTGAACACAAATTGAGAAGAATCATTCTTGAGAATTAAGTTTAAACTAATAGAAATTTGGTATTATTTATGCACATCTGTGTTCAGTGATATCATCTGGACACAAGCTTCCACAGTGGGCGAAGCAGCCCTCTTGCTCACCATGGCAACGGGCCGGGGGCAGACGGTGCTGACCCGCCTGAGAGCAGGGGAGAAGCGAGGCAGCCTGAGGAGGGGAGGTCAGGGGAGACCGTCTCTGAACGGTGGGAGGGTGTGCTCTCACACAGAAACACGTCCTTGTCAGTCAAGTCTATTCGGGCTAATGTTAACACTGAAATGACTAAGCAAATGACTTAAGCAATATGACACCTGGCTAATAAGAAATCTTATAAATATTGAAGCATAAAAGCATTTTTCTACTAAAGTTATCACTTTATCAGTCATTTTAACCACAAATATGCTAATAAACTCATACTTTACAATATTTAACACGAGCCAGGGTTTCCCAGCCCAGATCTTGTCCACTGGCACTCACTCCACCTGCACGGGGCGGGGCTTACCTAGCTGGCAGCCAAGATGCTGCCGTGACCCTAATTCTCTGTCTGCGCACTTTAAGCTAATGTTTGTCCTTCACCAGCTTGTTAACTCTGTGTCTCCCAGGTAACTTCTCCGCATTGCACTTAAGAGTTTTCCTGATTGCTTGGAAAATTTTGTCCTGGCCAGTCTCTGTAGTCACATAATTTAACAGGTACGGTCTTCACACATCTCTCCACCCAAACCTGGGCAATGGCGGGGTGTCACTACTAGATACCACGGGGTCCTTTCCAGTCACCCTGCCTCAGAGGGAAGCGACACAGGGACTTGAGTATAAGGGCAGCAGGTGAGCGGAACCCTGGCAGGACTGATCTTTCAGTGGCCGTGGACTGGACTCTGCAGTGTCCCCAGCCCACGCAGCCTCAGGTTAGAAAGCTCAGTTAACAACCTTCCCAGTCACTCCTCAAAATGTGAAGTTTCACAGGGTGATGGGTCCCTGCTAATTACATGAGGTGCCATCCCCAAGAGCTATGGCTACTGTGACCCTCTCTGTGCAAAAAGACGATGGATCCTTAGAAGCAAGGGAAAAGGAAGCCTTAGAGATCAGATCTGCTGAACTGGAGCCAAAGGACACAGCAGCACTGCCACTGCCTGATGCCGCTCTAATCCAGACAAGATAAGCTCGCCAGGGAGACACCGGAGGAACAGCCGGGGAAAGCTGGCTGAGTGTTTCAAAAGCTGCTTACTATCTTGGGGTGGCAGGACAGAAAGTTCTCAGGTGAACAGAGAAATCAGAGGTCCCACAAAGGAGCCGATGATTACTCTGCACACCAGCATAATGAGCTCTTCTCTCCGGACCTAAAGACGAAGACTGCCTGCGAGGACAAACACCCAAGACCCGGGCGAGACCTTTACAGCGGGCAAGGCAATGCGTTCTCCACCTGTGAAGGTCAGTGTCCTCACCTTATTTTGACTTTAACTATTTTAGTTGTTATTACTCTTAGTCAATTCTGAACCTTAGCTTGAGCCAATATAAAAATATATGCATGCTAATGTCTAGAGATCAATATCATTTAGGACCCATTTAGTTAGTGAGAGAATGAACACTTTTGCTAACTTAAGAGAGACCATGTATCCATCACTCCATGAACACTCCTAATGAAATCTAGGCTGGAGAATGAACCCCTGAAATACTGCTGCAGTCAGCAACACACATCCTTTCAAGCACATTATCTATTACTGGGAAGCAAACAGGACAAGCATCAGGGACCTCAGTCAGAATAAAGTGATGTTTACACTGCTAAGAATAAACAATCCTAATGGATATGCTAATAGTCATTCCTTATTCACAGGCATTAGTATTCTAAACTTGACCTACCGCTATATACACACCGACAGACACAAGATGAGGCATTTTACACATCATACTAAGACAACAGCAGAGCGAAGGCGGGGCGGGGGGGGGGGGGGCGCTAATATTCCGAACTATGAGGACTCAACATAAAATAAAGGGGAGGAGGGGTCTACATAAACACCACCTATTCGTTTATGCTGTAAGTCAAAAGGGTAAGAAGGCTGCCCAGCCAGTATGGCAATCCTCACTGCTGAGTTCCACAGCAGTGTAGTCAGAGAAAAGTTAATTTCTACAACTGGATGCCAATTTGAAAAATCTAAGATGCTGTTATTTCCCACAATACTGCAAGGTTGACTCAAAGGAGGAACAGTTCTTTGAGAAAAGGACAAACCATGAACAAACCACGAGTCCAGAGTTGGACACCTGGTTGTCTGTCCTTCCCAGTGGACTTTGTAACTTTGGACATGTCACAGCCTCAGCCTCCATACAAGAAAAGCTGGTCCCTACTTGTTTGGCCCCCAACTTATAACCCTTAGGAAGAAAATTGAGAAAACATTCTACAAGGCACTGTAAGCTCTCAAAACCATGCTATTCACACATGACCTATTTTTTCTACAGACTCAGTCCATCAGAAAGCCACCTGAAGATGGGAAGACATTATGCTACCTGATAATCTCTAAAACAACTTTGGACTAATCAAGTCCATCATTAATGAAACTGGTTTATAGAATACAAAAAATGTAAAGTCATTAGGACTGAGTTTTGATTCAAAATCTACAAAAGTACCTAAAAAAGTAATTATTTTCCCTAAAGAATGTAAGCTCAGTAAAATCATGCAATTTAAAAAGTATCAGAGTACAGAAAAGTCAAAGAAAGCAGATACACAGTTCGTTCCTCGCTGTCATGGAGTTCCGAAGAACACTGCTGCACACAGACACAAACGACATCATCTGCAGGGCTTCACATCTGTATCCCTGGCCTCGTGAGGGGGGTCAGCTCATGAAAACAGATTCCCATCCAGAAAGGTTGCAACTGTGTACCAAGCCAGGTCAAGGTAAAGGCAGGTCAAGGTAAAGGGTCCTACAATCACCCAAGCCCTTAACACCCTCCAGGTGACATGCTACTAAACCCAGCAGCTCCTGTCCACCGCACCTCCTGCTTATGCTCTCCGTTCTGCGAAGACTAGACGGCCAGTGTGCCCACAGCAAAGTGTACACTCCGAGTGTGCTGCTGCCGCCGGCCAGTTTGTACCCCAAACATCCTCATGCTTTACGTCACAACTTCTTAAGCAAAAATACAGAGGCTAGGTGCAGACGGTAAGTCTTCTGAAAAGGTTTTTCAAGGAAAAAAAAACTTATCAAGGATATAATCTGATCTCGGAATTAAATTTTCCCTCTAAAAACGCAACCCCAACATATCATGATATAATCGACCAGGGCAACCCAGCACAAAGGCAGTGTTCGATGTCTCATCAAATTTCTGGACATATCTCCCAACTGGATCTACTTGGGAAGGCATGTGGTTAATAAAGAATGTCACCAAATGACAAGAACATACCTAGAGACTTAGTGGAGCACAAGCGATCACCTGCTCAGCATGAGCTGCTTAGGGCTGTGAAATCCCCAAACAGTATAAACAGCCTTAATTTGGTCAATAAATGTGGAGATCATCAGCAATGTTTATTTACTTCATCTTCTCCCCCACAATCATTTAACAATACAATCATGACACAGAACTTTATAAAGACAGACTTGAGGGTCATTTGATATGGTTCACTAAAATTTCAAAGTAGGAAAGAACGAACTGGAACAAAGGTTCTCCCAACGTTGCGAATACTAGTGATAGAAGAGCAGGTACAGAGAGATATCCTTCCTTTCCATTGGCAATCAGAACCCATAGGCTCGCGCTAACAAAATGAAGCTGGCAATTAACTAACTTGTCATGAAACAAGTACCTCACTAGCACATTAGTTAGACTTTCAGTACATACCTGATTATACAATGTCTACAAATTCAGGTTGTGTTTTTAATGGTAGTAGGGATTACAGAGACAGAAAACAACTCTGAAATGAGCACATCTTCTACTTCAGGTTAAGAAGCTCTACCAGGACCTGGCAGTGCAGACAGTACACTCTTTCGTGTTATCTTAGCATATATCTGTTCTGCGTGTTCTATGAGAATAATTGGTCTTACTTTGGTATGAACAATTTTAAACCACATTTGTACAATTCAGTCTATTAAACAAGTTTTGCTTCTTTTAGGTTGAAATTTTACTTTCACCCATCTCTGGGAAAATAAAGTCTTGCAAATAGATGATGTTCTGCTAAGTAAAATTTGGCTAAGACCTACAGCGTAAACAATGCCTGAGAAATGCAACAGTTACGTGAGTTTTCTTTTCAAAGACCAGTATTTTCTTAAGTTAGTGTCTCATAACATCCTTAAAAGTTCATAAGGAGAAATAAACAAACATGAAAATTCCAAGTGAACACACAGCAAAAAGTCCAATATTTAGTATTAATTTAACTTGCGGAGGCTCTTCCAACATTTGTAAACAAACGGCCTCCTCCTCCATCAGGTCTCTGAGACTCCTCTTGCTGAGGCTCTTACTTTTAAAGCCACAGAACCAATCTATTAACTTCCAGCACCGGCCTCCATCCTCTGTTTCTTTCTTCCTCTCTTTCTCACCCATGAGCGCTGCTTGCCCGTTGGAATAAGCATCTACTGGTGTTTCTGCCTCTGAATGACCTAAGGAAGCCGCTGGGTTGCCCTCCTCTCTGCAGGTCACCAGGAGATTAACATCTTCAGGCTGAAGGCCCTTGATGCTCTCCTCAGACTTCCCATTGGGGATGATACGGTTGATGGCCTCACTATTCTCATTGCATCTCAGAATACTCTTCTCTTGCATTTTGTACGGCTCATCTTTTGGGGTGCAGCTCTCCTCCACCACCAGGATCTTCTTAGACCAAAAGGTGGTGGTACGAATCTGTTCCTTTGCGGGAGGTGGCGTAAGAAGGCTAACAATTACTGTAATGAGTCCTGTGACCCAAAACAATGCTGTGGCCACATACATGTAATGAATGTCTTTGATGAAGCCCGGCCTGTTATCAGGCTGGTCACATTCTGGGGCCCGGTAGGCAAAGGCGAGTATCAAACGGACTGCTCCGAGGACAAAGCCGGCCACTCCACCATAGAAAGCCCCTTGTTCATTGCAGCGCTTCCAGAAAATTGCCAGAAGAAACAGGGCCGCAACTGGGGGCGTCAGGTAATCTGCTACCTCCTGGATATAAAGGTACATCTGGCCTCCTTGCATCTCCACAATGATGGGCACCCACGCAATGCTGACCACCACCATGAAGGCCACAAATATCCTCCCCACAATCATCAGCTCCCGGGAGCTGGCGCTCTTGCGGAGCAGTTTGTACACATCGAGGGTGAATATGGTGCTGGCACTGTTAAAGATGGAGTCCAAGTCGCTCATCAGAGCCGCAATCATCACCGCCATCATCAGGCCCCGGAGGCCCACGGGTACCAGTTTCATCACCAGGCGTGGGTAAGCAATGTTCGAGCACCCGGCTCTGCTTCCACACACCTGCATGCAGTGCTCTGGGTTGATGCAAGCTATATCATCAGCAAACAGTATCCTGGAAATCATTCCTGGGACAACAATGATAAACATCGGCAGAAGCTTCAAGAAGCCAGCCATCAGAGTGGAGCCTTTGGCGTGTGCAATGTTTTTAGCTGCTAGTACCCTCTGCACGATGACTTGGTCAGCGCACCAGTACCACACCGAGGCTGGGGTCTGCCCGAGAAGGAATCCAGGCCAAGGCACGTCTTCATCTGTCGGATTCCGCAACATTTTCAGTGCATCTTTCTTAGGGTGGACATTACAAGAATTTGTGCTGGAAAGGTTGTATGTCAACAAGATCGAAGTGACATTGGGCGAGGCCAACATGTACCTTCTCTTAACTTCCTCAAACCCGCCAACCTCCATCATGCTAATTACCATAAGTGTGAGTGCCCCGACGATCATGAGCAGAGCCTGTAGAGTATCTGTGTAGATCACTGCAACAAGGCCTCCGGTGACAGTCAGGAGAGCAGTCATGCTAATGAGCAGGATGACAGACACATACAGGTTCCAACCCAAAGACTCTTGGATAAAAAGGGCACCTGAATACAGATCCACTGAGAGCTTGGTGAAGATATAGAGAATCAGAGACAAGGCTGCAAAATAGACCTGAATCCTATGGCCACCAAATCGCTTGGACAAGTATTCAGGCATGGTGTATACCCCTGACCGGATGTAAATCGGGATGAAAACCCAGCCCAGAAGTTGCAGAAGCAGCAAGGCATTGAATTCCCAGGCACCTACTGCAAATCCGCTTGCAGCGCCCGATCCTGCCAGCCCAATGAAGTGCTCACTCCCAATGTTGCTCACAAACAGAGAGGCACCAACTGCCACCCAGGTCATAGAGCGCCCAGCCAGGAAGTATCCACTCACGGTGCTTCTATTAGATTTCCACATGGCAAAAAAACCAATGCACAGGACCAGGATAAAATACAGGGCCACTATGGCAATGTCTGCTGTCTCCAGTACAGCCCTCATTTTGGTCACTTTGTGAATAAAGGTGTCCAATAACAGAAGTGTCCGACTTTTTATTTACTCATTAGTAACCCAGCCAAGTCTGTAAACCACACGTGAACTGGACTACACAGAGCAACAGAGCAGGTCAAAGTCTTTGTCCTTTGGTTTGCTGTCTTGATGGTGGTGGTTGTGATAAACTTTGAAGGAGACAGTTTAAATTTTCCTCCGCTTCTTAATGGGGATTGAGAACTTAGCTCGTACTCTCATTCCACTCTCCACAAGACCATCAGCATTTACTCAGGTGCTGGAGGAGAAACTCTGAGTTGCAGCTAAGTCTAGTGAAGCCTACTGTACCAACCCTGCAAGGCAGCAAAGACAAAAGACAAAGATTGGGTTAGAGGGTCTCTCACCGCTCGACGAGGAATCGTTCAGTCTGGCACACGGCGCAACAAGACATTCTTTATAAAAAGAAAAAACTTTTAAAATATACTTCATTTCCACAGGAAGGAACAGTCTATACTATCACAGCTGATACTTAAAATCAGTGGAAATACTTAAGATTTTGAACTAAGAGCAAACATGCATTGACTGCGTAATTCAACGGCCCGACTTCTCTGGCCACTAGGACTGTTGTCACAGCAGTGCCCTTTGTCTCTGGTAGTCTCAGACTGGAACAGGTACCAAGAGCTTAAAGCACCTTGAAAAGGGGGAAAAACACTAATTATTCACAGAGTACCAACGTGAATCTTCAACTACTATGACCCCAAGAGGAATTATAGGTGGCTCTTCCTCGGTGTTACCATTGGCCCACAATCAGAAAACCAAGGACTGTTCCGTCTGTGCAAACCTAGTGCTATAGAATTTCCCTACGTTCCTACTACAAATGTACAGCTGTGCTAATTATACAGAAACCGAGAATTTGTCAGATGACTCCTGCCCTAAAGGGAAAAAAGATATTTCTCTCTCTCACACACACACACACACACACACACACACACACACACAGTAGGAACATACAACTCATAAACGACCCTAAAATTTCATTCTTCTGATAGCTAGAAGACATTGAATGATTAAAAAAAAAAAGTTCAAAGAGGTCATTTTCTTCCCTTCCTTTTCATCAGACAATTATTTTCAAGAGAATCTCTGAGCAGATAAAAGTGCTGGCGCAAGTTTGATTTCATGGAATATTTTCCTTTCAATGCTTTCCTGTTGGAAGGTACAGAAAGCAAAAGGGGAGGGAGAAGGAGAACCTTTTCTGGAAGACTGACAAATAATTTCATTTTTATTATGTCTTCCAAATCTCAACGAAACAGACATTTGTCAACCATTAGATAATAAATCATCCAGTCAGTGAATCAGATATTTTTCAGTCTGGATTAAGAAAATCACTCTGCCTGGCCAGTGTGGCTCGCTGGTTGAGTGTCAACCCTGCACCAAGAGGTCACTAGTTTGATTCCTGGTCAGGGCACATGCCCGGGTTGTGGGCCCCAATCCCCAGTGGGGGGCATGCAGGAGGAGGCCAATCGATATTCTCTCTCATAGATGTTTCTATATCTCTCTTTCTCCCTTCCTCTCTAAAATCAATAAAGAAAACAAGAAAGAAAATCACTCTGCAAAACACATTTAAATTTCCTTAAAATCAAGTTTATGAATCTGATGGTTTTTCTCCTGGAAAAGAGACATATTCTGAATCTTCAAAGTTAATTATCACAGTAGCTGACAGATCAACATGAAAAACCTTGTTATTCAAACTACACCTTCCACGTGAGAAGGCAACCATATGTTTTTCTATGCTTGACACAGCACATGCTTTTTAATGAATCTAGGCATTTTTTCTTTAAAAATCACTAGCAAACTTAAGTCCTATTAATGATATTATTGCTCCTTCTTTTCAAAACTGTTCAACATAGACCACAGTACTAAAAACTAGAAGAAGAAAAACACCTTTCACTGCTAGGAAAGAGAGGAGAACACTGCCAAGGTCGGATACCCTGCCAACTTAGGTTAATGGGTCTAGTGCATAAAGCTGCCTAGATGGAAATGTCTTAATCCCATCTTTGTGCCTTTTTTAAGCATACACCACAATAATTATACAAAGAAAAATAATAAAAATCCTTCCTTCTAAAAGCAGTGTCAATAATGACTGGCATAAATAATACAGCCATTAACAAAAGCCTAGAACACAGTAAAGGTTGGGATTTTGTATCACTTCATACTTGCCGAAATCCTGAAGGTGATCAGATTTCTGTGTCTGCTTCCCCCCTCCCCCCAAAACTTTCTGGTTTTAAAAAAAAATACTTGGACATTTTTTAGGAAAAAAAGAAAAAACACCTAATTTTTAATAGCAACTAATTAGGTCCAATACACATGAATTATTTATTTAAAAGGGTACCTTGAACGTTTCGACATAAGGGTCAGGTCCCTAAATTAGAACGAAAACTGTTGCTGGCAGCTACAAAACCTGCCTTCCATGGCGCTCTCCTGGGCACCCAACATCCAAGCTGTGCCCCTGGTCCCTTGTTTAACTTACAGGTCAGCCTCCCTAGCTGGTCACAGAGCCCTTTCAGGGGTCACCCTTAGCAATGGCAGCAGGAGACCTGTGTTTTCCAGGAGGGACACGCCAGAGTGTCTGGCTGGCGGGGTGGGTGGGTGGGTGTGCTGCAGCAGCCGCGCAGTGTCGGTCCGAACGCAAAGCAGCACTTCCTCCTGTCACGGGGGCACTGCGGACATCCCTACCACTGGTCTCCATGGCCAAGCTCCTTAGCCATCAGATGCCGGTGCACGCTGCTCCCTGGCAGATGCTCAGACTGACGGGCTCCCGTGCTGGGTCTCACCTCCAGCTTCTCTGGAACGGTGACCCAGCGAGAAGGTGGTCTGCCTGCCTACAAGAGGAGCAGGGAGAGGCGCAACACCCCTAAAGGCTGACTCAGCTCTGCCTACGGTTCCTCAAGCCCCTCCAAAGCCATTGCCGACAGTCCCCGTCTGGATACCATACCGGTCTGTGGGCAGCTTTAAGATTTTTCCAATTTAAACAAAAACATCCAGAGACCAGCACCCGGTGAAGACTGGAAAAGGAAAAAACAAAACCAAAAATTGGTCAATTTAGTTCGTAGAAAAATATAGAATACTGTAATACTTCACATTGAACTTCAGATCTTTAGGAGGTAAATTATGCGTTCCCTATAAATGACTCCAAATAAAATATACAATGTAAGTTTCACATGTTTTTCTCTTCCTTTGAAAGCAGCAAACATTTCCATAAGGAAATAGCTGTCCCTAGGTATGGGGTGAGGGTGGTTCCAGAACCCCACGGACACCCGAACCCAGTGTGGAAGTCCCTCAGACGCGCGGGTAATTCACACATAACCTACACGTACACACACTCCGCAGCAGGGAAAGCCCACTTGTTCCTTCACTCCTGGGGACTCGGCTTAGTGCTCAGGGCTTGGCAAACTCAAGTTTTGCTTTTGGAACTTTCTGGGATTTTTTTCCTCCCCAAAATACTTTCGATCTCCATTTGGTTGAACCTGCGAATGCATCACCTATGGATACGTGGGCGACTGTACAATGGGCACTAGACAGAGGTCCTTCATTTGTAGGAAGAATATACATGGAAAATTGTTTTCTTCAGTTAAAAGTGAAGCTTTGTTGTTGGGATTTGTTTTTTGTGGGTTTTTTAAAAATTTCTAGGACTAAGCTAGTTCACAGTTCAAGTACATCTCGAGTGAGAGACATGGGACGCAGGCATAGTACTGAGTGTGTGGGTTGATTCCTTGGTAGTACCTTTTTAAGAAAACAACTATTTCTATAATGACAGTAATTTTTGTAGAATTTATGAAGAAATGGTCCCCTAGTGGCAATGGACAGAACAGCCTCAGCCAAATCTTGAATACAGGGGTGTTTTGAATCAAACAGCAGACCCCACACCCCCCACAAAGGCTTTCTTCCGAGAAATGTTTTACTGATAATTTTCCACAAAATTAGAACACCGCCCTGGCCGGTTTGGCTCAGCGGTTAGAGCGTCCGCCTGCGGTCCGGAGAGAGCCAGGTTCGGTTCCCGCTAAGGGCATGTACCTCGGTTGCAGTTTGTCCCCGGCCCCAGTTGGTCGTGCGGGTGGCAGCCACTCGATGTGTCCCTTTCACATCGATGTTTCCCTCTGTCTCTCCCTCTCTTCCTCTTTCTCCCTCTCTGTCTGTACAAAAAAAATGGAAAAATGTCCTCGGATGAGGACTAAAAAAAAAAATTAGAACACCATTTTGGTATTCTTTCAGGTACCTGGATGAATTAAGTTACAATTGTAGAATGAATTCAAATAGAGAAATGCATATATCTGCTATGTGTAAAACAGCTAGAAAGAGGAAAACAGGTAAAACCAAATTTAAATCAGCCATTAAACTCCTTCAGGTAATATAATCAAATTACAATTAGTAATGACCAAATCCAACATCTTTCTTCTGATATCTAGGTCAACCATTTGATTTATCTTCCAAACTAGGGTACTATCCTGGGACAATCTCTAAAATCCAGGACACATGGCCACTCTCTACACTGGAAGCCACCTGTCTAACCCAAACAGAGAGCAAGAAAAATCTAACGCTACCAGGGCTCCGAGTCGTAGCAAGTTCACTGAGGCACATGCTAACAAAGGCTAGAATACAGTGACCCTAAAAGTGACAGCAGCAGCATTTTTAGTTTCGGAGGTGATTTAGGAACAGGCCCAGCCCAGCCGAGTCTCACTCATCTTCTGACCCAGTGAGAACCCCGCTTCACCAGCCAGTGATCTAAGGGCTGTGCACCTCTGAGAACCCTCACGGGCAGGCAGCACAAAGAAAGCAGACGAGCCCGAAGGGCTGGGGTCCGAGCTCTGCACTTCCTTACTGCAGGGCCTTAGGACAAGGACAATTTATGAGCCTCAACTGTCTCACTTGCAAAAACAAAACAAAACAAAAAACAACCGCCTAGCTCCTGAGGGTTTATAAGAAATAATTAACATGTAGAAAATATACAGTATCTCCCAGTACAACAGGCAAGGTGCTCAATTAATGCCACTTTACCTTCAACTTGTAAAAACCAGAAGTGACGACATCAGCTTCTTTCAAACTGCGCTGTGAACTACATGCCAGCATACTAGGGTCCTCACCACAGAGAGAAAGAACTAGATAAAACCATGTGTTAAATATATAGTTCTCTCACAAATATGTTGAAAAGGCTCATCAACTATTAGCTCCTATTTACATCAATTTATTCAAGTAAAATACCAAAAAAATTAAACTGATGTAAATTCTACTTAGACTTTTTATGTTTCACTTTTGTAATCTTGACTCAAGGTCCAGTAAAGCCAATTCCACCAGTGGGACAGATTAATGGTGCCTGGTACAGAGTATGTACACACTCATACAGGTCTTCCTCGACCTCTGCTTCCTTAAAAAATTAGGGCATGGACACGTGGTTTATCAGTGACACTAAAGTAAAACAAGTGTCTTTCATGTAACTGATACGGATTCCAGCCCATTTTACATCCCAATGGAGCTGAGGACAACAGTACACAAAACTGTATGACGTAACAGTCCCTAAAACATGGAAAGAGTCTGCCCTTACATCTCTTTGACAAGCATTTCTAATATACCTACCCCTCAGCTATTCAAGTTTTCCAAGAGCCTAAGAAATCTAAGAATGCCTTCTGGAACTCAAATGACAGTCAGACAGTATTCTGAGCCTTTCTCATCCCCATGTACGACCACACCCCAAGTAAACCATTTCTTCAAATAAAATTACTTCACCTAGAAAAGTTCAAAAACCACCAGATTCACCGTTTCATACACATATACACACTCTCCAAGATATACTCATTTTAACCCACTTCTATCAATTGCAAGTTTGGCTTCCCGTGTTTAGCTTGTTGGTTTTTTTAAAGAAGTCTCAGGGAAAGACCAGATGGACGTGGGGCCGACTCGGAAGCTACTTTTATGTGGATGATGCTGGATCACAATGTGGAGCAAACTCCAGCACCTATTTTTTTAGATGTACTCTCAGAGCAGCAGCACACTGACACCGTATCACACAATCCCAACAACTAAACATCTACCTTAACTCTTAGTGGTAAGGATTCAAGAGGCTCAGCACTATCCACGTGTCAAAGACCGGTTTTCAAAGCTGTTCTAAGTAATGGACATGAAAAGCAAAAGCCTAACATGTACTGGCCCAGCCCTGGCACCTTGCAGGTAACTGCCCTATAGCACTGTGTGCAGCACTTTACCCTACCACAGTTATTATGATCATCTTACAGATGCAAAAGCTGAACCAAGGTGGCCGTGTAACCTGCACCAGGACGCAGGATCTGTGTTTAGGACAGCACCAGCACCCACATCTGTCCGAACAGCTTCTGCCCTCAATCACCACAAAATAAATGAAAAGTCACTGGTAACAAAAGAGACTACAAGCAGCACACAGGACAAAATTCAACTCAAGTGTTTATGTATGATCATATGTAAATGGATATACATATGGAGAAAAACAGAGAGATTCGAAACAAGAAGGCCCAGGTCCAGACTTCTTAGGTAAGTAAACACAGAGCAGAAAACCTTGACGAGTCGGCTGTAAGACCAGGGCTTGTCCAGGTTCTCACTATCCCACTCCAAGGCTTTGGCCTTCGTTCTCTTTCGTAGTGAAAAATGAAGTCTCCAAGCCTCGTTCACCCCTGACCTTGGCACCGCGGCCACGTGCACCAGTCCAAGCTCGCGTCCCTTCACTGCCACTCCCACACCCTGAGACATCAAGTTCAAGAGCTGGCGGTGTGACCCAGACGAGAGTTCTCCTCGTGCAATTTACGGACCACTGTTCTTCCTCGGCAAGTGTGTGTGACCAAATATCCTTGTTTGGGAGCAAAACTAATTTGGCCCGTACCCCTTAAACCTGTTCTACCCTCAGTCCTCTTCACCCAGAGAATGGGAACTCCGTCCTCATGTTGCTCAGGCCAAAGTTTCCATCATCCTTGAACAGCTTGCTCACCTTCTCACCCCACATACAATCTACCTCAAAAATACACCCATATCTCAAATGCTAGCGCCCTGGTCCAAATCCCTGTCCCAGTTCATCCAGTTACTAGCCACCTCAGCCTCCTAACCTGTCCCCAAGGCTTTGACCCTTGGTCCACCACAGGGCACTAACTCACATGGCAAGGTGTCACCCCTTAATTCCCAGTGCACACCGTACCAAACACGCCTACAGGTCTTGACATTGGCTGTTTCCTATACAAGGTACACTTCCAGATTTTCACAAGATTGCTCCTCTCATTGACATCTTTGCTCAAAAGTAACCACCTCAATGCCTCCTTCCCCTGCTTTATTCATTCCATGGCACTCAGCCTGTGACACAACACAAAGCTCACTTGTGCTCCATCTCCACGAGGGCAGACGCCCGTCTGCGCTGCTCGCTGACGCGGTCTGTGACGGGAGTGCTGTCTCGCACACTGCCAGTGCTCAATGCTTGCTAAACAAATGCATCAGATATTAACGACTAAGGAGCTAATCGATAGTGTTCAACTTCCATTATGCTACCAAGTCATCAGCAGTGGGCTTCTTTTGAAAACAGTAAGCGATGGCAGATTAACAGACCAAGGAGTAGAGCACTTCCTCCCTCACCAAAGTGATCAGCAATCTCAAACATCTCTAACCAAGGGTGTGTGAGATGACAGCGGGGCATATCCACCTCGGCAAGAATGCCCCCTGCTCAGACACAGATCTCCGCAGCCATGCCACAGTGACCATCTATAGCTGGAGGTGCCATCGCAGGCCCGCTACCCACTGTACGGCTGGCCCACTTCCCTCCCCGTGCTCCCTCCCTTCAGGTGCTGCCAGTGCGACGGTCAACACCCTGCAGTGTGCGGCGCAGGCGCCGACCTTCCTCCCACAGTGCTTTCTGCGTTGTGGTCATTTCCGCCGTCGAAAAGACAGGTCGGTGTGGACGAGCAGCACCTCCTTCCCACTCATCCTAGGCAAGTCCAAGCGTTCTGCTGTCCACTTAGGAAGACCCTCTTCCTTCTCCACCTTCTCCACTACATTTGAA